GTTAGCTGAGGGGCTCCGGGCACTGTCTTCAAACCCACCTCTGCCTCCTCCCAGCTCTAGGACCCTTCCTGTTGGCCTTACTAGTTTCCTTGTCTGTAAAATGGGGGGGTAATAATACTGATAATGTCGGGGTTGTCCTGAGAATGAACTGAGGGTTAATATAGATAAAGTGGCAAAAAGAGACCTGGCACTCAGTAAATACATTTAGAGTTACGTTTACATTATTATGATGCCCCTGTCCCTCCTCCCACCCCACCTCCAGCCCTCGGCCTTTGAGGAGAAGGCAATTGAGAAAGTAGATGACCTGCTGGAGAGTTACATGGGCATCAGGGACACAGAGCTGGGTGAGTGCTTGGCATTTGGATCTGGGAGGGGTGGGAGTCTGGGGAAGGAGGCTTCCAGGTCCCATGGCCTGGGTCTGCCCTGAGCACCTCCATTCTGCTCCCCCACCCCCAGCGGCCACCATGGTAGAGCTTGGGAAGGACAAGAGGAATCCAGACGAGCTGGCCGAGGCCCTGGATGAGCGGCTTGGTGACTTTGCCTTTCCTGATGAGTTCGTCTTTGACGTCTGGGGTGCCATTGGGGACGCCAAGGTTGGCCGATACTAGGACTCCCACTGGACCTTGCGATGACCTGAGCCGGGCCTGGTGGGAGCCCCAGGGGTGGGGGCACCACCGCCCAGGCTCTGGCATCCGGCTCCGCCTGGCCCTGGCCCAGCAGTCCCAGGATGTGGCGTGGAGATGGGGCTGAGCCCCTGCCCCACTCCAGTCGGTACCACTCCTCCCTGATCCCAGCCTGGCTGGGGTCCCCAGCTGCCCCCCTACTCCCACCCTGTTCCCCACCTACCTCAGCCCGATCAGGCTCTGGGAGGGACCAGCCAGATTGGGCAGCCAGACCCCGCCCGCAACACTTTCCACATCAGCGGCCAAACTGGTCCCTCTGTCTCCCTGCGGCCTCGGGTTCTGTTTGGGGGTCCTGACCTCCTGGTTTCCTGACATAAGGAATTCAAAAGGGGGAGCGTCCACCGCCCCCCACAGCAAATGCAATAATCCCCCCTCCCGCCATTCCTCCAGAGGAGCTCCCTACCTCTGCATTTGAAACACAAGTCTGCTGTGAACCCCCCACCTCCCCACCCCACTCCTATGTCTCCCTCAGCCCCGCCCGGGACAGACAGGGCCTGAGGGATGATGGCGGTGGGCTTTTGTATCTGAATTTGCTGTCGAACATAAAGACTCTGCTGTTGGACCTGTCTGGTGGCCTTGGAGTGAGAGTGTGGGATGGGCCCAGGCTGGGAAAAAATGTAGCAGCTGAAATCCATCCTCCCCTGGCTCCAAATTGAATTAGGAGCTGGCCCTGGCTGCCCGCCCCCTCCCACCCGTTCCGCCTGATGAGGCTTCTGGCTGCGGGCCACCAGGCTTCCAGGCAAGGCCTGGGCTTTTTGGCCTACTGAGGGTTCACGTCTTGCTCCCTTTGGAACAGTGCCTCCTGCCACCCCAGCCTGATGTGGACAGTGGGCACAAGGCTGCTGGCTACAGCCCAGGGTGGTGGGAAGCACCAGGGCCAGGAGGTGTGGAAGCCTGGCTTGGAAAAAGAAAGCTGGCGGGGAGCGGGCTCAACCGGCCTCGGCCCGCTGGGGGCTGGGGCAAGTGCTATGGGGAGCAGCCCATCCCTGAAGCTCGGGGAGCAGCCACGATGCCGCCACACACCACCTGACTGGACGTGCAGGGTCTGCGGTGTCCCCGGCAGGCCATGCTGTGCACTGGACAGAAACCCGGCCTGCTTGTTTTGACAACCCTCTTCACCCTCAAGGATTTAAGGGGGATCTGGGAAGGGGGTGGGGCGGGACCCTGGCCAGACCAGGAGGGGAGAGCCAGGATTGAAGGGAGGGGAGCCAGCTAGGCTGGAGGTCCCTGCAGGAATGTTGGGGGGAGTGAGCCGAGGGGGGGAATGTGAGCCCAGTCCACTCCCAGTTTCCACTGGGTGGGCAATTGGCCTCCAAGGTGGGGGAAGTGGGAATGCTCTGAGCTGGGGGTGCGTGGCTATATTCTCTGGTGGGGCAGGGGTAGCAGTTGTCGGGGTCACTCCGTGCATTCCTGGGCACCTGGAGGTGTTTCATGTGTCCGTAGGAGCCTTCATGTGTGTTTCAGTAGGAGCCTTCTACTGAAAGGGTGTGTCTCAGTGTTGAGAGTAGGACTGTGTGTGTGTTGATGACGTGTGACTGTATTGAGGTGTTTGTGCGTATAAATAGCAGTGTCTACATAGAGTGTGGGTATGTGATTGGAGAGCTGTGAGCATGTGTGTGCCTGGATGTTCCTATTTGTAGGGTAGCGGGTGACCAGCAAGATCTCGGGGAGTCCAGGGCATTGCAACTCCTCGTGTTTCAGGTGTGGAGTGTGACTTGGACTGTTAGGGGGTATCTCTAAGTGATATGGATATGGCTGGAGGGCTGTATCAGCGAAGGCTCTCAGGGGCTGTATTTCAGGGTGTTAGAGTCAGTTACTATGGGGATGTCTCTGGTGCTGGGGGTGCAAATGCCTTATGAGTTCAGGGGTGTGATGATGGCTGACTCCAAGGCTCTGAGGAATGTGGCTGGCTGGGGACAGGCCAAGATGGTGACTGGTCTCAGGGTGTTCGGGGATATGATAGCGTGTCTTCAGGTGTGAGACTGTGTCCCTACTTCTCAGGGCAGGAGGTGAGGCTGCAGCTGTGTGTCCACAGGTGTGTCCCTCACCACATCCTGAAGCAGGATCTACTAGTAGGAGAGCCCCCTGGTCACTGGGCCTCGTCCTCCTCCCCTCCAGGGACATGACTCCCTGCTGCCCTGGGCTTTAAGCTCCTGTGTAAATAGTGGGCGGATCTCCTGGCCTGGCTGGGCCTGACCCAAGCTAGTCCACCCAAGGCACTGCCCACCACCACCCACCCAACATCCATGAAGGCTCTGGCAGGGCAAAGGAGTGCTGCTGCCCCCACAAGGGCTAGCCCCACAACCTCGCGGCCCCCATGGGTGTAGCGACACCCCCTGCAGCCGCCCCAGCCAGCCCCTGGCGACGCTCACATTTTCCAGTGTTTAGATTTTATCCACTTTATTAATGAGGCAGGCGAGAGGCCCAAGCCTGGGGGGAAGGGGGGTGCTCCTGCCCTACCAAGAGGAGGGGGTCAAGGGGGGGCAGGACAGCTCCATGGGAGCCCCCCTTCCTCATAAGGGGAGCTGGGGCCCAGAGTGACCCCTACCCATTGCCAGAAGTGCAGAGAGGGGGGTCTCTGCCCTCCCCAGGCCCCTCAATGGGCTGGTGCTGGGTGGAGCAGCCCCTGGAGGCCTGAGTGGGCAGCCAGAGGAGGCAGGGAGCCCAGCGAGGAGCCGCCCCTGTAGGAAGGGAGGGAGGGAGCGGCCTGCCGGAGAGCTGGAGCGCAGCGGACAGCCGGGACTGAGAAGCAGGCAATGGGGACCTGGTGTTCCAGGCACCACCAGGTAAGAAGACTGGGGTGCGAGGATCTCAGGTGGGGCTGGAGGGCACAGAAGGATGGGGCCATGGTTCCCGCTACCTGTTCATCCTGTGTTCAGCCCTATCTGTCCTGGTTGCTCTTAACCATCTGTCCCTTCTCCTTTCCCTTCTGGCCCAGGGGGCAGTAATGCCTCTCAGCCCTCACCACTGGATATCAAGGGAGGGGTGGTCCTGGGTCGGCCAGAGGCCTCTGGGGCAGGGACAGGGAGGGGAGCTGGTGAGAGTGGAACCCTGGGGCATCCTGGGGGAGGTAGCTGCGGTCCGGTAAGGCCTGAGTGAGAGGGAGACAGCAATGGAGCTCAGAGATGGGAATGTGGGGGACAGAGATGGGGCCATGGCGACAGTGCAGTGGGGAGAGAGGGGCCCACAGTGGCAGAGGTGGAGCTGTGGGCATCAAGGATGGGACTGGAGTAGGGCTGTCCGAGACGGGGCAGTGGGTCACGTGGAGCCCTAGGATCAGAAATGGGTCCGTGAGTATCACATGGGTCAGGGGACCAGGAATTCGCTATGATGTAAATGGGAGGTGGGTCTGTGAGACCCACAGGCCATGATAGACCAGGGGGCTGGGGCCAGGGGAGCCACAGTGAACCGGGAAGTAGGCAGTGAGGCAGAGTGGGGCTGGGAGCAAGAGCTGGGAGGGAAACAGGCGAAGGAGGAGTCAGGAACTGGGCACCAGGGTCTTTGGAGTTGCCATGGGGTCACTTGGGCCCTAATGACCCAAAAAGGGACCATCAGCTGGTCCCAGTGGGCGCTGTGCCCTTGGCCAGCCCCAACTTGCGCTCCTCTTCTCCCCAGCCCCGCCCCCGGCACCTGACATGAACCCCTACGGGCCCCTCAACCTGAGCCTGGTGGGCGAGGCGACCACGTGTATTGCACCTGTGGCCCCCAACGCATCCACTGGGCCACCGCCGGGCATCGGGGGCGCATCACCAGCGCTGCCCATCTTCTCCATGACGCTGGGCGCAGTGTCCAATTTGCTGGCACTGGCGCTGCTTGCCCAGGCTGGGTCGCATATGCGGCGCCGCCGCTCGG